CTGGCGTGATATGGTTCATGGGGTCACGAAGAATCGGACACGACTTAACGACTGAACAACACCACCACCACCACTTGGGTGTTAGTTGGACACCACAACTATTATGGCAGAGGCAGGCTACATGGTGTCCTCTGGATGTTCTGAACTTCAGCTCCCGCCACAAAGGGATTGTGGGATTTGTGGTTCAAAATATCTGGAAGACCTCAGATGGGTCGTCCTTGCATTACCGAACAAGGGCTCTACTAAAGCTAAGAAAAATATCTGTGCCTCTTTGGTTCAAGAAACCTTCCTCAGGTGCCTTTTCAAGTTCAACCTCTAATGTTAGGAGGGATTTCTGGCCAACAAACCTGAAGGCACTAGATTGGAGAAAGCTGATTGAGGGGCATTCATTAATTCTATCAGTGTCTGTTGCACAAATGGCAGGAAAACAGTCCTTTTAAAGCCAAACCCGATAGGTTATTTCACCTATTTGCAACACTGGGTGTTAGGGTCTTCACCCCTGTTCGTACAACACACCATGCCTCAAACCATCAAAGTCATCTTTCTGCCTAGTGCAGCCTGTGCACTTATGATTTAGTGTGTCATGCAAACCCTGAAAAGAGGGTTAATTCAGGAAAGTCAAGATTAAGGTGATCATCCATACACAGCCTTTGATTGCAATCTTGTCCGTACATACTTAACAGTATTAATCTCTGTTAAATGCAGTACAACTTGATTCTCCTAGAAGGTGCCCAGAAGGCTGCTGCAAACATGTAGATTTCAACATGCCACAAAGCTGCAAAATAGAAGGGTGCATGTGTCTTAACAGGGCAACCACTGGTCTGCTGAAACATATTTCTTATTAGGCACAATTAGATGCTATTGGTTATGCAGAATGAATGCTGTTCTTACAAGGGAGCCAATCTATTGAAAGCAGTGGGGAAATGGGTAGAGCAAGAGCCAGCCTGATTTCTTCCACATCCTCCATAACCTGGCTGACATCGGGGGTAAGGCTTTGGGGAAAGAAAGACCACCTCCCTGCCCAGAAGGCCTGCCCACTCTCCCCTCCTTTGGCTGTAATTTCTTCTGGTTAATTAAAGGCTCCTATCCCTGAAAGATGGGGAAAACAACCTCAAAATGTATATTTAATGGCTCAAAGGTTCCTTCTGAGATCCTTTCCAGAGAGAGTATCTGCTACTTTGGATGTTTCTGAAGAGCATTTTTTTCACAGCCCAACGGCATGGCCGGGGGGCCACCCTGCTTGGGGCTACTGTGAGTTGTACTTCACAATATCTGGAGGGCCACACCTAGCCTTGACAAAGTAGTGATAACCTTTTAACATACTTCCCTGCTGTCTTTTTGAGGATGGGAAGCCCGTGGCGTCTTTCTGAAACTTTTTGGGAAGCATTGGGCTATGCGAGGCATAGGCTTGAAACCTTGTCAGGTTCCAAAGTCACCTTTGGAGTATTGTCAGCACCTTAGTCCCAAATAAATAAATAATAAACCCAGTTGTTTCGAGGGGAGAGGACTAATAAAGAGAGCCTCACCCTCTCTGCTTTTGACTGGATCCAGGAAACAAAAAAGGTGATTATTCCAGTTGCTGGATTAAACCAAGAAAAAATTCCTTGGGTTTAATTTCTTCAGGTTTCAAGAACGCACTTTGTCTGCCTTCAGCACGGAAGTGGAGAAACTGTTTATTCAGTGGCTATTAGGTTTCCTCTAGGAAAGCAATGCTGAAGCTGTTTTTATTGGCGGTAAGTTAGAAGGATTTGGGCTGTAATTCTTGCAGGGGCGGTCAGAAGCTGTGCTTGGGCAGTGCCACTTTCAACTACTAGTAAGTAGGGGCTCGTGTAACAGAATATTCCTCCCCTTTCAAAAGAAATAGGAAAACTGTATTTCGGGGGGGCACTCTCGTCCCCTCGGGCGGATGAGAAATGCCAAGAGGCCACTGGGAGGCTGTGCTTTCTGCCTTCTAGAAAGTCAGAGCAAGAGGAAATCAGTCTGGCCCCATCCATCACCCAGGGACAGGACAGCTGTTGCCATTCATATTTGTCCCGTCCCTTCCCTCCCCTCCCCTTCCCTTCCCTCCCCTTGCATTTTTCCCCCTTCTTTGCATAGACATTTCAAATCTATTAGAGACGGTGATCTTTCCATAACTGTACTTTGGTTAGGAATTACTTTTTCTTTTCAGGGTGTGTGTTTTAATGGCAGGGAGAAACCTTATGTCAAGAACTTGCTCCTGCAGAGAATTATCTTGTAAGATGGTGTGGTCCCCCACCCCCAGCAAAAGTAGCCCAGTTCAAAACACAAATTCCCCTCCTTGGGATGGCATTGCCACCTTTTCTGGGAGTGGATCTTGGTATATGAATAAACTCAGCATGGCTTCTGAACAGTCTAGCTACGAGGAATGCAAGTCCTCTTGATCATTGGGATGACAGATGTTATTCCAGCATCACGTTAAGTCACCTTTCTATTTACCTTCACCAAAGAATGGCTCCAAAGGCCTGGAATTATGTTTCCCTGGGACAGGCTCAAGAGGATTTGGAAGGAGTTGAAAGCTATATACCTCTATATACCTCTTCGTCTCTTTGGGAAGCTGTGTTTGAACTGAGATGTGGGTTTCAGATTTCACATCTCCATCTAGTTTGGAT